TTTATTATTTATTTGTTTTATTTTGCTTTTATGGTCTTTGAGACACAGTCTCAGTGTCTTACCTTGATAGAAAGTGGATTCTTGGGGCTAGAGAGATGACGCAGTGGTTAAGAGCACTGGCTGCTCTTGCAGAGGACATGGGCTTGATTCCCAGCACCTACACGGCAGCTAACAACTGTCCATAACTCCAGTTCCAGGGGATCTGACGCCCTCTTCTGGCCTCTTCTTCCATATACATGGCGCAGTTATATACATGGAGGCAAAGTATTCATACACATAAAGTTTTTAAATTTTCAAATAATTTCAAAGTTACAGAAAAAAAATTTAAGAACAAGTAATTTCCCAATACCCTTTATCCAGGCTTATCAACATAAATTCATTTTGCCCCATTTTTTTTCTTCCCCCCTATTTTTAGCCATACATACACACATAAAGTGTGCACACATGGTGTTCTGTAGCCCTTTTCTGTGAATTGAAACATTCCCTCTTGGAGAAGTGGGAGGCTCTAGGTTCATATAAGAACTAACCAGAACTCATGAGGCTCTGGAAGTTCATGGAACTTACTGAGATCAGGAAGCTGAGAAAGCTACAAAACTCTCAAGGCCCCAGGGTTATAGAAGCAATAAGCAATTTCTGAGGGAGAGAGGAGTCTCTCCGGTATGGCTGCCTGCAGGTTGTGTAGGGATGTAGTTTTCCTGAGTCAGTGTTCATGCTACGCTGGGCTTCTGGGCTGCAGCTGCATTTGAGTCACCCACCCTCCTACATTAAATAGCCCTGGTAAACTCACTGATTCACCAAGTTGGATTTGGCTGGTTCACCAACCTGCACTGGGTGTCATTGGTGCCCTATCTGAAGTGAGAAGATGTTTGTTTACATCTGTTCTGTTTGTTTCTTAGCTGGCCTGGAACTCACCATGTAGACCAGGCTAGCCTTGAGCTCACAGAGATCCACCTGCCTCTGCCTCCTGAATACTGGAATTAAAGGGATGTACCACCACACCCAATCCAGCTGGTTCTGCTTTTCTTGTTGCTCTGATAAACACCAAGACCAAAAGCATCTTAGGGGGGAAAGGGTTCATTTGGCTTACACTTCCAGGTCACAGTTCATCACTGAAACTGCAGGGTAGGAGTTCAAGCAGGATCTGAGGCAGAAACCATGGAGGAATGCTGGCTTACTGGTTTGCCTCAGGCTCATAGCTAGTTTTCTTATACCCCCAGACCCACCTGCCCAAGGATGGCATTGCCCACAGTGCTCTCCTACACCAATTAACAATTCAGAAAATGCCCCCAACACAGGGCCACAGGCCAATCTAATTTGGGAAATTCTTCAGTTGAGGTTCCCTCTTCCCAAGTGACTCTAGGTTTGTGTCAAGTTGACAACTGAAGCTAAGTATGACATCTCACATCTCACCAGGAAAAAAATCACACAACACACACACACACACACACACACACACACACACATATGTATATACTTTTCTGAGTCATTTGAGAGTAGTTTGCAGATATGATGCCCTTTTACTGCTAAAAAGCCTTGCTGTGCATTTCCTAAGACCATACTCTTGACATGGCTGCAGTGATTACTAAAGTCAGGGCATTCGAATACTGATACCACAGTGTTCAGTCTACAATCCATATTCAACTGTCATCAAATATAGTTATTTTTTTCTAGTCTGATACAATCCAGGATCACAAATTGCATTTCATTATCAAGTCTTTTTATCCTGTTTTAATCTAGAAAATCTAGAAAGCTAGAAAATCTATCTAGCCTTCTTTGTCTTTCTAATCCTCTGCATTTTATTCATTTCTTTGTGTGTGTGTGGTGTCTGTGTATGGGTGGTGTCTGTGTGTGTGTGTGCGTGTGTGTGGTGTATATGTGTGTACATGCAAGTGTGTAGGCAGGTGCACATGCCTGTGCAGTTGTATGGATGCCAAAGGAGGGCATCAGGTGTCCTGCTCTAACTCTCTCCCGCATCCCTTCCACATAGGGTCTCTCAGTGACCTTGAAGCTTGGCTGGCTGGTCAGATAGGTCCCCAGAGGCAAAGCTACCTACAGCCCAGCAGCTGACCATAGATTTGTAAATGAGTTTGGTCAAGATTAGCTCAAGAACTACATAAATTGGAGAGCTATGGGGCTGGAGAAATAGTTCGAGAGATAATGAGAGGTTAAGAGCACTGGCTGCTCTCACTAAGGACCTGTGTTTGGTTCACCACACCCACATAGCAGCTAATAACTGTCTGTAACTCCAGTTCCAGAGGATTGAACTCCCTCTTTTGGCCTCTGTGGGCATTACACACACAGTGTGCACTTACATTCTTACAAGCAAAATACTCATACACATAAAATTAAAAATTAAAAAACCTCAATGGTCAGGCATGGTGGCTCATGCTTGTAACCCCAGTTCTTGGAAGGTAGAGGCAGGAGGATCAGGAATTCAGGGTCTTTCTCTGCTGCATCATGAGTTTCAGGCTAGCCTGGGCTACATGAGACCATGTCTCAAAAGAACAAATCCTCAATGCCCAGAACATTTGGATCAGAGCCTCCAGGGCTGGCACCTGGGCAGCAGTGTTTTGCAATAATTCCCAGTGAAGTCCAGTCTGCAGTCAGGCAGAACTTGTGTCTATTTCTGTGACTGGTGAATAAGAAGCTGGTGTTTTCTCCATTCACATGAATAGCCCTCTTCACCAGCACATGTTTCTGATAATGAGGATCTACTTACTTTTGTGTTCATGAAATGCTGCCTGGAACGGCTTAATGGTTTTCTCCCTACTTCTTGGCTGATTTTTCCAAAAGGAAGTTAAATTTTCCTTCCTACCAGCAGTTTCCTAAATCCTATAAATTTCTTTTTTGAGAAAAGAGATTGGGGGAGGGGTTTATGTATGCCACTCACAATGAAGAGAAACTGAAACCTAAGCTGTGATCATCAGGAACTGTAGCAGATGTTGCCAGGGCTTTCTTCCCATTCACTAGAGACCTGGACTGTTCCTAGGCATGGGGGGCTCCTGGTAGGCACCTGTACCTCTTTTGGGGAGGGTGGCACTCAAGAGCCCAGAAACTTGTACCTATGCAAACTAAAAGTCAGATGCCAGGGACTTTATATTTTCTTAGACATCCCAGTGATTGACAGTTGTAGTGGTATAACTACTCCAGCCTCCTCATCTCAATCAGGAAAATCATGGTCACATAATGTGAGGATTAATTTTCATTGGCAACTTGGCTGGATTTAGAATCACCTGGGAGACACACCTGGGTGTGTCTGTAAGGCATTTCCAGAACTGTTTAACTGAGGAGGGAAAACCTGCCCTCAAAGTGGGTGGCAACTTCCCATGGCCTCTGGGAATAAGAGGGGTCTGATGTGCACCTGCACTCATCTCTCTCTGCATTCCAGATACAGACACAACATCCGACCTCATGCTGCCATACAGCAAGACGGACTCTACCCTCAAACTGTGAGCCAAAATAAACTCTTACTCCCTTCTGTTGCTTTTTGTCACAGCAATCAGACAGTAAGTAATACATGTGCACTCCAGAGATCCCTGGAGAAACAAGGTCAAAGGTAGCTTCTCACCATCTCTGTGAACTCTGCTTAAGATTGTACCACCTTCAGTTTCCTGTCCAGTTCCTCACTGCCCTATCTGTGTATGCATGTGTAAGTGCAGGTGTGCACAGAGTCCAGAAGAGGGTGCTGGGTGCCCTGGAGCTGGAGTTGCAGGTAGTTGTGAGCTGCCTAACACAGGAACTAAACTCTGCTCCTCTGCAAGAGCAGTATGCACTCCTAACCACTGGGCTGTCTTTCCTGTCCACTGGGAAGACTTAAAAAATATTTATTTTATTACTGTTGTTATTAAATTTTATGTACATGCGTATATCTGTATGGGTTTGTACATATGAGTGTAGTGCTTGCAGAAGCCAGAGGAAAGCAATGGATCTTCTGGAGCTAGAAGTACAGGTAATTGTGAGCCACCCAACGTGGGTGCTGGGAACTGAACTCCCATCCTCTGCAAGGACAGCAAGTGTGTGTAACCACTAAGCAATCTCTCCAGTCACCTTGGGAAGATTTCTTAATAAAGCATGTTCAGAGAATCTGAACCTTAGTGTATTCTTCCAGACAGCCCACCCCATGATAGCAGCTGCCACTCATACCCTCCATGACCTTTACAAAGATGATGGCACTGACCTTCATCCTTGATACAAAGAGCATTGTACATGCCACCAGGAACAGGATTGCTGTCGATTCTCACATCAACAGCTCTCGTGATTTGCTGTTCACCACTCCCTTTGCTACACACAGTTGTCCTGAAATAGATAAAGGGGACACTTGGTTAGGAGAAATTTTTTTGGTCTTTTTGAGACAAGGTCTCTCTGCTTTAGCCACAGCTGGCCTGGAACTCACTAGGTAGAACAGGCTGAACTCCTTTGTAGACTAGGCTGGCCTCAATCTCACAGAGATCAGCCTGCCTCTGTCTCCTGAATGCTGGGATTAAGGGCGTGCACCACCACACCCATCGAGGAGAACTTTGGGTTGAAAACAAATGGAAAAGAATTCTTTTCTGCTGTTGATTCTGAATCAGCAGAGATTTGGGTGATTCATGAGCTTTGGCTGAAAGCACCAATGTGGAAACATTCTCCCCAAACAGAGCTCTACGTTCTGGAAGATGGGCGAGGCTAGAATTGGGAAGCCATAGGTGTTGATTCAACATTCAGAGGCAATACATTTCTGATATCTTCCAGTATTTGATTTTTTTTTTCATTATGGAAAAGTTCATCAAGGAATCGTTTGAATTTGTTTATTTACTTATTTTTACATTCTATTTATGTATTTTGTGTGCATATATGTGTAGGTAACTCATGCCATAATGCATGTGTGGAACCCAGAAGAAAACTTGCAGGAGTTGTTTCTTTCCTTCTACCTGTGGGTCCTGGGAATCAAACTCAGATCCTCAAGCTTGGCTGTAAACACCTTTACTCACTGAGCCATCTCACTAGCCCCTTATTTGAGTTTTTATAAGGTTTCATTTAGCAAGGTAGAAGACTAAAAATCTGGGACTGGAAAGACGGCTCAGTGGTTAAGAGCATTTGTTACTCTCGCAGGGACCTGGGTTCAGTTCCCAGCCCCTACAAGGCAGCTAACAACCGTCTGTAACTCCTACAAATGGGAGTTCAGTTCCCAGCACCATCTTCCTCCTGCCTCCTGAAATAATTCCCTAATCATTTCTCAGTCTGAAAATGTCTTAATTTCACTGTTACTATTGGAAGATATCTTTACTGAGGTACAATTCTAGGTTGACTGTAATTTTCTTTCAGCACTTTGAAGCTGTCACTTTTGTGCTTTTCTATGAGTGTATTCTGCTCCTCTGTAAGCAAATTCTGTTTTTCTTTTATTAATTTTGTCTGCCTCTTCCTCCAGCTTTCATTCTCATCAGACTTTCTATGATGTGCTTATTTGACGATTTCTTTTTATTTCTCCTTCTTGGGCTTTATGGGACTTTCTGAATCGGTGTTCTGATGTTCCTCGGTCTTGGGTCATTGTCATAGGGTCTGACGCCATTTTCCCATTTTCCTTTTTTTCTTTCCTTCTTTTCCTTTTTTTTTTGGTCTTTTTGAGACAGGGTCTCCTTGTACTCCCACCTGTCCTGGAACTCACTATGTAGACCAGGCTGGCCCAGAACTCACAGAGATCCGCCTGCCTCTGCCTCCCGAGTGCTGGGATTAAAGACGTGCACCTTTTCTTTCCTTTTTAAGGTTTTTAAAAAAATTATGTCTAGGTGTGTGCACCTGGGTGAGTTTATGTGGATCACATAAGCGCAGGAACCAACAGTGGCCAGAAGAGAGCATCAGCTCCCTCTGGAACTGCAATTACAGGCAGTTGTGTGCCACCGTGTGGGTGCTGGGAACCAAACCCAAGTCCTCTGCAAGAGTAGCAAAGCACTCTTAAACACTGAACCATCTTTCTAGATCCCACCACCACCACTTTGAAAAGATTTTATTTTCTCTTTAAATTATGTGTAAGTGAATACGTGTGTGTGTGTCTGTGTATGGGTGGCTATGTGCATTTGAGTACAGATGCCTTCAGAACACAGATGAGGGTGTTGGAGCCCATGGAGCTGGAGACACAGACAGTTGCTGCCAAACTTGGGTGATGGAAACCAAACTGGGGTTTTTTGGAAAAGCAGCAAAGCACCCTTAACTACTGAACCATCTTCCCAGCTCCTCTTTCTTTTTTTTAGAATTCTGATTACATACATTTTGTTTTCTTTACTCATTTTTCTGTAAGTTTTATTGCTATCCCACTGTTATTTAGTCTACATATCTTCCTCTGAAATAGATTCCAACTCACTAATCTGCTCCTTGGCTCTTTTTAATCAGCTCTTCTATCCATCCATTAAATTCTTTTTTTTTAAATTTATTTATTTTATTTTATATGTATGAATGTTTTTTCTCCATGTACACATATGTACCCATATTTTACAATGCTTGTGAGGCCAGAAAGGGTGTCAGATCCTCTGGGACTAGAGTTACAGATAGTTGTTAGCTGCCATGTTCTGGAAACCAAACCAGGTCCTCTGGAGGAGCTGCCAGTGCTCTTAACCACTGAGCCTGCTATCTCTAGCCTGCTATCTATTAAATTCTTAATTTTAGTTATTGTGTTTTTTATTTCTAAAGTGTTTTCATCTGGTTATTTTTATAGATTCTCATGCTGTTAAAATTCTCCTTGCCTTTTATATTTTTGAACATTTTAAGGATTGTTATATTAAAGTCAGTATCTACCAAAGCTAATATATGGAATGTCTATTAGCTATTATTTCTCCTGAATTTTACTCTTCTTATTTGTCCCCTAGTGTGGCTGGTTATTTTGTATTGTCTGAGAAATCCTATGCTAAAAGAAAATTGTTTGTTGAAATAAATTGAAGCCTAGAGTAATATTATCTTCCTTAAAAGAGATGTTTATGGATTCATCTAGATATCAGGAGCCCTGAAATTCCAGTATCATCTCTAATATCTACAGAACAGGTAGAAGCAATATTGGAATATTTTCACCAAGCTAGTCACAAGAAATATTTCTCTTAAGGATCCCATGGGTCAGGAACTCAGCACACGTGGGAATTACTGTCGCTATTACATCTGGAGCCTGAGCAGGGAAGACTCATAGGCTGATGATATCTCAACAGCTGCGGTCTGGAACCAGCTGGGGGCAGCTTCACTCACATTTCTGGCAGTTAACATTGGCTACTGGCTAGATCTCTGGTTAGGCCATTGGCAAGTGGCCCTATCTGAGGTGCCTCCAAGAGCTCTAGTCTTCTCATGGAGTAGACACCTCAACTTGGCCAGACTTTACACGGTGTCTGTATTTCTTTTGCATCGGTGTGAGCAACACACCCAACAATGTAAACGAGGGAGGGTTTATTTGGGGCCACAGTTTCAGAGATCTTTCAGTCCATCATGGAGAGGGACTAGGAGTCATGCAGAACCCTGACAGGCAGACTGGCAGAGAAAGGGCCCATTGATAAGCAGCAAAGATGGCACACTTCCGGCTTCTTCCTCACCTGAAACAAAGGCCTGGCTGCTTTTTCTTCCATTGGCAAGGGCCCCTTCTGGCTGACTGGTCCAGACCAGTCCAGATAAGTCCAAGGCCTGTCCTGGATACAGCTTAGCTTAGAGCTGTGGGCTTATTGGCCCTTTCTTCTTTGTTTAAATTGGCCAATCCAAAATTAGGGGAATGTGACCTTCCCTAGACCACCAAGAACTTTTAGAAGACCTAGGTCCACACCCCCTAGGTGTGGCTTTGGATTTTGGTTTCAGAATCCCCCATCCACTTGTGGAAACTCTTTCTCTCTGTGTGCTTTCGTGTGAGCATCTGTACTTCTGCACTTTTAATAAAGTTTGTTGCCTGCTGTGTCTGAGAGTCTTTCTGCCTTTTAATTATTTTTAAAAGGTATTTTATTTATTATTATTATTTTTGAGGAAGGGTCTCCCTGTAACCCCAGCTGGCCTGGAACTCACTATGGAGACCAGGCTGGCTTGCTTGCTTTCTTTCTTCTTTCTTTCTTTTTTTCTTTCTTTCTTTCTTTCTTTCTTTCTTTCTTTCTTTCTTTCTTTCTTTCTTTCCAGGCTTTATTTATTTTTTATGTGTGTGAGTATATTGCCTGCATATATGTAAGTGCACCTCTGTTGTGCAATGCCCACAGAGATCAGAAGAATGTGATGCATCTCCTAGAACTGGAGTTACAGATGGTTGTTAGCCACCATGTGGGTGCTAGGAATTGAACCTGGGACCTCTGCAAGAGCAGTCAGTGCTCTTAACTGCTTAGCCATCTCCCCAGCCCCACCTTTTAATTCTTTAATTGACAGAGAAGATGAACCAAATCAAGACCCCTAGACAGTAACAATGGCAGGGATGGTGTGGTAGGGGTGGCTCAGTCAGAGGTGACAGAAACTTATGCCAGTGGCTGTTTACAGGACAGAGGATCAGGAAACAGAAAGAGAAAGGAACTAGAGGTCCTGCTAGTAATCTTCAAAGGCCAGCCCCCAGTGACCTACTTACAACAGCTAGACCCCACCTCCTAAAGGTGCCATAGGCCCCTTCCACAAAGATTCCACCGGGCAGGGAATCAGTGTTCAAAAACAAGAGCCCATGGGGACCCTTTAGATTCAAACTATAGTATCATCTGAGGCTACAAAGGTAAGTGGCTCCAGAAATCAGTTTGAAGCTACATGGATTTTTTTTCTATCCAACATTAGAAGTTACATTGTATCTGTCACTCTTGTATTATCAACAGACGAATACCATGCTCTCTCTGATTAAGAGGAGAGCACACCTCTTAGTAGAAGTGCCATGAACACCTTGGTCCCACAGTTTTTTTTGTTTTTTTCTTTTGGTTTTTTTTTTTTTTTTTTTTTTTGGTCTTTTTTGAGACAGGGTCTCCCTATAGCCCCAGCTGGCCTGGAAGTCGCTATGTAGACCAGGCTAGCCTTGAATTCACCAAGATCTGTCTGCTTCTGCCTCTAGAGTGCTGGAATTAAAGGCATGCGCTACCACGCCCAGGCGGTCCCACACTCTTATGTAGAGTGATGAGAATCCACAGGAAAGGAGATAAAGAATACTTAAATACCATCAAATTATATTGTATGAAAATTTCAAAAATTCAGTAAAAAATTTTAAAAAGAATACACCACACAATGACCACTGTTACTGCTGAGGTGAGAAGTTTGCTTTATGCATATCTGAATCGTTTGCAGTTTTATAACATATATGCACTATTTTTGTAGCTCAAAGAGAAAATTCAAAATAACAAAGGAGAAGGAGAGACTATGGTAGAACTCCAGAAAATGTTTTTCTATGAAAATTCAAAACAAGAGCATGCCTCAGGGGCTAGAGAGATGGCTCAGCAGGTAGGGTGCTTAGACCTGAGTTCAGTCCCAAGAACTCACATAAAAAGCTGGATAATATGGCATCCATCTGTGATCCCAGCACTACTATGGCAGGATGGGAGGCTGAGACAAGAGAATCATCTGGAAGCTCATAGCCCAGCCTCGCCTGGAGTATGCAGTGTAGCAGTAGAAACAAGAACAACCCTGTTTCAACAAGTTGGAAGGTGAGAATTGACTTCCAAAAGTCGTCCTATGACCTCTACATGTGTACACTGGCACACGCATACACAGGCACATGTAAATAGACAACAGAACATTCTAGAAGCCACAGACCACTTCACATTGCCTACCTCACTACCCCCAAAGGACAATTAGTGAGCCCCATATATACCTAGGAAGAGCAGCTGGGGGAGCTGGAAAGGCACACTTCCTGTAGCAGTCCTGACTTACCCAAGCGATCCATCAGCCAGCCAGCCTGTTGTGCACACAGCAAAGGTACAGTCCTGGACCACCCTCTTCAGCTCCTCAGCAGACACCAGGTGAGCACCCTTGCTCCTGCAGGACAGCCGAGCTGCCTCCAGCTCTAGGCCCTGAGAGCCATTCTGAGACTCCAATACAAAGAGCTTCCCTGTGTGGGACAAGCACAACAGGTGGGTGGTGAGGCTCAGGGAAATATGATAGCACACTCCATGTCTGCACACACTTGTTGGAGCCACAGCTGCCCAACTGCATGAAGACCCAAATTCTGTACTCCCACAACACAGTATCCCTGGACCAGGTGCTGACAATTCTGCTGGGGTTTAACGCATTTCTGCTCTATTTCTAGAGTGTTTGCTATGGACCAAGTTTTATTCAAATGAATTTATAAATATTCATCATATTAATTCTTATGTTAACTCTATAATATAAGTATTATTGTTCTATTTTATAGCTAAGGCTTGGCAGTAATACTTATTCAAGACCTCATAGCTAAGACACAAAACCAAGCAGTTCGGCTTCCTGTGCGGGGTCTTTTGCTTTTTAAATTTATTACACTTTATTTATTTATGGATGTGTGTCTGTGTGGTTGCTTGCGTGCCATGGTGTGCCACTTGCAAGTGGAGGTCAGAGGAAACTTCAGAGTTGGGTTTCTCCTTCCATCTTGTGTGTCCTGGGGATTGAACTCAGGTTGTCAGGCTTGGGGGGCAAGCACTTTTACCTACCCAACCGTCTTGCCAGAGCATCTGAGAGGTTTTAATCATTGTGTAATATTGCCTCCCAATAATAAAGTAACATGAAAATTGTTTTTTGTGCATTTTACAAAATATACAATTTTATTCTATTTTATTATTTTTATTTTTATGTGTATGAGTGTTTCACCTACATGTATATTAAGTGTACCCATGTCATGCAATGCCTGAAGAGTCCAGAAGAGGATGCTGGATCCCTCAGAACTAGAATTACAGACAGCTGTTAGCTGACATGTGGGTGCTAGGAATTGAACCCAGGTCCTCTGAAAGAAAAGCAAGTGTTCTTTTTTTTTTTTTTTCTGGACTTTTTGAGACAGGGTCTCCCTGTAGCCCCAGCTGGCCTGGAACTTGCTATGTAGACCAGGCCTGCCTCCCAAGTGCTGAGACATGCCCAGCTACAAGAACACCAAGTGGGGGGCTGGAGAGATGGCTCAGCAGCTAAGAGCACTGACTGCTCTTGCAGAGGACCTGGGTTCGATTCCCAGCACCCATATGATAGTTATGAACCATCCTTAACTCCAGTTCCAGGGGAATCCGAAGTCCTCTTCTGACCTTTGTGGCATTGTATGACACAGGTGCGCTCACATACATGCAGGCAATACACTCATCCACATAAAATTTTAAAAAAACAAAAACGAAAACAAAAACGAACACCAAGTGTTCTTAACTGCATCCCCCACAAAAATATACTTTTTTTTTTCCTTTCTTTGTCGGGAGCCGCTAATCATTGAGCTGTTGGCAGCCTCGTTTACTGAGTTTGTGTCATGCAAACCAGTACTTAACCTGCCCATTCAGGAGGAAGGTGTTTCTGGAGAGCCTCACAATACCTGACCTTGAGGCAATAGTGGTAAACAAAAAGATCAAGGAAGCCTTTGATCTGACCGCTGCTTGACCCTCAGATACAGGTGGGGAAATACAGCAGTTGTAACTATTTGAGTTCTTGTGTATAAAAAGGCAGAACTGAAATAAACCGAGGCTGCAGTATTCACTGTGAGTCCTCCCAAGCAGCATCTTTTCTGTCTCCTTTCCTTTCTTTCAATCCTCACTCCCCCTTTCAGGTACTGTCCGTTTTGGCCGGCTGGCACCAGCATTTCTTCTTCTTTTTTTTTTTTTTCGGTCTTTTTGAAACAGAGTTTCTGTGCAGCCCCAGCTGGAACTCAATATGTAAACCAGGCTGGCCTTAATCTCAGAGATCTACCTGTCTCTGCCTCTCCAGTACTGGGACTACAAGTGTGCGCCACCACACCCAGCTCAAAGTATACTTCTTAATGAATATTGTGCTCAAAGAAATAACCAGAATTGAAATAAAAACATTTAATTAAAGAGACAAAGCTATGGAGAAGGGGTGTAAGGGAAACTGACAGTGAGTGTCAAAGCTCAGGTTCAAAGAAGTATCTTTGGAAGTGGTGATGCACGCCTTTAATGCCAGCACTTGGAAAGCAGAGGCAGACAGATCTCTGTGAGTTACAGACCAGACCAGGCCTGACAAGGTCTCACAAACAAAACAAACAAAAGAAGTGGAGTTGATCAGTGAGCTGAGATTCAATTTGTAAAACCTAAAAAAGCTCTCAGAAATCAAAGCTTCTAACTAAGTAGGAAAGTATGGAGCAGAAATCAATAGACTGGAAAGGCAAACTATAAAGAAAGTGAACAAGTGGGGGCTGTCTCTCCTTCAAAAGGGTGATAACAAGGCCAGGCATGGTGGCACGCACGCCTGTAGTAGCAGCACTCAGGAGGCAGAGGCAGGCGGATCTGTTAGTTCAAGGCCAGCCTGGTCTACATAGTTCCACGCCAGCTGGGGCTACAGGGAGATCCTGTCTCAAGAAAAAGAACGCCCCCGGCCCTCAAGCGATTCCACTGTCAAAGCAAGCAAACAAACAAGAAAATAAAACAGCTGGGTGTGGTGGCATAAGTCTTTAATCTTGGTGCTCAGGAGGCAGAGGCAGGCAGATCTCTATGAAATGGAGGCTAGCCTGCTCTATAGTGAGTTCCTGGTTAGCTGGGGCTAGAGGGAGACCCTGTCTCAAAAAAACCAAAACAAACAAGCAAACAAGAAAAAGAAAGAAAGAAAGAAAGAAAGAAAGAAAGAAAGAAAGAAAGAAAGAAAGAAAGAAAGGCTCATTTTATAGAATCCCAAACCCTTTTAGACAAGAGGAAACCAGTTTTCCATTCATTGAGGAAACAACATACTACCAGCATCTGTCAAGTGTAAACTGTGGGCCAACACCTTTCAGATCAGATGCAATCATGTTAAACTTGTCCTTCCTCCAGGCTCAATTTCACCCTTCTTTTCTCTGGGTAAGGTTGTTCCCTTGGGTTTCATCCACTTGTGGCCACCCTGATAGAGGACAATTTTCTCTTCCATCAACATCTTTCCCCTTTAGTCCATCCTCCCACATCTTGCACCCAGACACATGAAATCTATCTTACCTGGTCTCTACATCTAATCTTGCCTGATCACGTCCACTTCCCTAGGTAACATCAGGGCGATCTCTTTCAAAGTGCAGATCTGACTAGTCATTCTACTGCTTGAACCATCCAACAGCTTCCATCCAACAGCTCAAACCATCCAACAGCTATTATAGTGAGCTGTTGACTTCTCCAGCATCATCAAGCCACTTTGCTCAATTTTTGAGATAGGATCTTACTCTAGAGTCTAGACTGGCCTCAAACTCATGAGCCTCCTACCTTCACCTCCTGAGAACCTGAATTTCAGGTAAATGCTACCATGCCCAGCCCAAACCACTCTGCCCCATACTCTCTCCTGCAGCCACTCAGTCTCTCCTGTTCCAGTCTTCCCACTGCTCACAGTTTTTTTTCAACTAAGTTCTCCTGGGTCATCCTTTTCTTTCTTTTGCTTAGTTATTCTTTTTTCATAACTTTAAAAAAGATATGTATATATATTTATTTATTTATCTTTTTGAGACAGGGTCTCCCTGTAGCCCAGCTGGCCTGGAACTCACTATGTAGACTAGGCTGGCCTCGAATTCACAAAGATCCACCTGCCACTCCCTCACAAGTGCTGGGATTAAGGACATGCGTCATCACGCCCAGCTAAAAAGATATATATTTCTTTTAATGTAGGTGTCTGTGTCTGTGTGAGTGTATGCCACATGTGTCTACAGAGGCCCAAGAAGGAGTTGGATTCCGTGAAACTGGAGTTACAGGCAGATGTGAGCTGCTATGTGGGTGCTGGGAACCGAATCTGGATCCTCAGTAAGAACAGCCAGTGCTCTTAACCACTGAGCCATCTCTGCAGCCCCATAGTCTAGTAATTCTTCTGTCCTTTAATATCAGCAATGACCAAAGTTGCAATTTCACTTTTTTGTTGTTGCTTTAAGACAGATCTCACTATGTAGTCTTAGCTGGCCTGGAACTCACTTTGTAGACCAAGCTGTCCTGGAATTCATAGAGATCTGCTTCCTGAGTGCTGGGATTAAAGGCATGCATCACCATGCCTGGCAAAATTTCACATTTCATTCATCTAATTATTTGCTTCATGAGCTCTCCTCCTGGGTTTTGTTTTTTGTTTTGTTTTTATGTGTTATGAGTGTTCTGCCTGAATGTATGTGCATGTGATGCCCACAGAGGTGAGAAGACAGTGTTGGATCCCCTGGAACTGGAGTCACAGATAGTTGTTAGCTGCCATGTAGGTGCTGAGAACCAAACCCAAGTCCTCTGCAAGTGCAGTTAGTGCTCTTAACTACTGAGTCATCTGTCCAGCCCCTCCTCCTAGGGTTTTTAAGTTTCCTGATAAAAGGGCCCATTTCTCTTCATCATTCTGTCTTCATCAGCAAGGGCAGTGCCTGGTATACAATAGTTACTCAGTAAACACTGAATGAATTATTTTTTCCTGTACTCCTGACCCAAACTGTTCATTTACATGTAATTAATATGAAGTTTTTTCCAATTCAAAAGTAAAAGTAAGGTCTGGGGAGATGACTCAGTTGGTAAAGTTCTTGCCACTCTAGCACAAGGACTTGTGCTCAATCCCCAGCACCCACATTAAAAACAAAAAGCTGGGGCAGGCAAGGTGGCTCAATGATTAAAGGTGCTTGCCATGGAAGTCTGATGACCTGAGTTTAATGCTCAGAACCCACATAAATGTGGAAGGAGAGAACCAACTCCACAAAATTGTCCTCTGACCTCCATATACACACTGGCATGCATGCCCACATCATCATCATCATCATCACACAGCAACAAAAGCTGGGTGCAGCTATACAACCCCATGGCTGGGCTAGGGACATGGAGACATGCTTGTAACTCCAGTTTCATTGAAAGACTCTGTCTCAAAAAAACAGGACTGAAGAAGACACTTGAGATCTTCCACATATATGTATGCACATGTGCCATCTGTACACACACACCCCCCAAAACCAAAAAAGTGTAAATGTAGTAGCTGGTCTCCTTCATATAAAAGATACATGGCTAATTAGTCAAATATAAACTAAATGTTCTTCATTTGAACTTTTTTTATTTATTAATTTAAAGAATCATTTGTCCAAATCTGTCTCTTCAAATATCTATAATGAATCACAGTTTTGCTGAACATTCTTCTTCCTCCTCCCATCATGCAGCAGCATACAGATTGCTACATGTGGAGGAGGTAGTAAGCCTAGACCTAGCAAAAAACTCTTTTGTAACACAACTTAGAGTTCTGCTGTGTCTCTCTTAGAGAAGTTCGAGCTCAGCTTACAACGCAGTGTTCTTATAATTCTCCATAGGTGAACTGGAGAGAAGAAAAGGGAGGGAAGAGGTGATGAAGAGACACACAATTGGGTGTTGACCTCAGTTTGTCTTTACCCAATGACATTGCTGCTTTCCAATTTCTATGCCCCACATCAAGCCAGATAGGCACAAAACTTTGATCTTTATCCACATGGCATTCATGATGGGGTGAAACTCTATAACACTTCATGGGTTGCAAAGAGATTTCTTTAAAAGGAATTAAGATTGGTACAAAAGTATACATTGTTCAAAAGTTAGTGCACGCTTCAATTCATTCTACTTGCATTCTTTAAAATCAGTTTTATTTTCATAACTCAACAAGCAGGCCAAAACTACTAAAGCATTACCAGTGGACGGACTGCAAATAGGTATGGGGTTTCACGTGGCAGTGATGGAATGTTCTAGAATTAGATGCATATATGTATATATGTATATTTAAATGCCTCAGTTAAATATTTTAAATGGTAAATTTTATGTGAATCATATCTAGATTTTTAAAAAATTGGGGCTGAGACTACAGCTTGGTGGTAGATAGCTTACATTGTACAAAGACTGGAATTTGATCAAATAAATTAATTGGGGGATTAATGAGGAGCAGTCACTAACTACCTTTAAAGTTAAAAATGTTATCACTAAACTCTGAAGTCATGGATAAGTCAGACACTGAGCCTTAATTCCACAGACTTCACAGACCCTCCACTTAGAACAAAGCACAGAACGAAGTCTGAGGCAGTACGTGCCTGCTCACCGACATCTTTGCCTTCCCCACTTTTTCCTCAACCGCCAGTTTCTTTGTGCCTGATTTTCTATTTTCACACCTCCCGCCCCCCACCCCCCACCCCCCGGTTTGCCAGATTTTTTAAAAAGGCATTCAAAACACTGCAAAGCACCCTAAATCAGCTTGGGGCTTTTCTCCTTTAACACTCTTGGTTGTCCTAAGTGTGGACCTAGTGGAACAGGCTTCTGGTAAGGACAACTGGCTTTCTCTACACTTCCTTCCTTCAGATCCTCCCGCTCCTCATTCAGAGGTTTTGTGCCAACAGCAAAACACAGCTGAATTAGCTTTTCAAAATGGAATTGATACAGAGCCCTGATCCTGCTAATTTAAGAGATGTGTATTAAAAGCCGAATTCAGGGGTAGGTTGGATGGCTCAAGTGTTAAAAGGTGCTTACTGCCAAGCCTGACTACCTGACTGCCCCACAGGTTGGAAGGAAAGAATCCCTTGAGTTGTCCTCTGACCAACTCATGAGCAAGCTGATCAAGATACACACACACACACACACACACACACACACACACACACACGTTAAAGAAAATCTAAAGCCAAGCCAATTCTGGTTCAAAAAACAAAGTAAATAAACACATAGAAAGTAAATAATAATAAATAAATGCTTTTTTAAAAATTGAAAAGCCAAATTTGGGTTCAAAAAACAAAATAGGTCAATTCTCAGAGATTTCTATAATGACTACCTATTTTTCCATCTCACATCCCAAGACACTCATCCCTACTTTGCAGTGTGGCGCTTGCCCAGTTGTTTGCTTGCTTGCTGACCCATGTTCCCTGACATTCTGAGCGCCTCTGCAAGAGCTGTTTCCTCTACCCAGGTCTCGGTGAGCCCCCGTTTGCCCAGTGGATGAATCCCTTCCCATTTATCTTTCTGACCTTCCTGGACCACCGGAAAGTTTTCTAACCTTACCAGCCTTGGGGTCGGGCACCCATTTAATAGACGTTGAGAAACGGAGGGATGGCAGAAAATTAATTCCAGTGGAGGAAGCTCTAGGGCCGCCTAGACGTGACTTCATTTTAAAGATCCCTCATGAAGACGTTGGGAAAGCAGGCAGGGACAGCGTAGGGAAGTGAAAAGGTCCAAGCCCCAGACCGGGACAGTGATGCTGGATCGCAGGGTGGCCGGTTCCAAGAAGCATCCTCCCGCCCAGGTCGCCTCCGGCTCGGGGACCCGGCTGCCTCCCACCCCTACCCTGCCCCTCCCGCTCCATACACTCACCATCCGCCCGCACCGGGAGGCGCGGCAGACCCAGCAGGAGCAGCGCAGCCGCCCAGAGCGCTGGGGGCCCGGCGGTCATGGTTGTGGCGTCCGCGGCCGCCTGCTTGCACTGTGCTGGAGAGTCTCGGGCCCCACGCCCCACGCGAGAGAGGATCGCGGGGATCGCTGAGATCCGGGATGCTGGAGCCGCGGCTGGGGATGCGGGGATGCAGGGATGCAGCCTGAGCGCTGGGACCCGCCGAACTCCCGGGGGTCTCGGTGGCGCCGCGGAGGCGGCTGCTGTCGGCTCCGCCTTCGCGCCGGGCACCTGGAAGCCCCAGTGCCAAAAGGGGAGGCTGGGGCGGAGGGCCAGGGCCCAGGAGGCGGGGAGAGCGGCCAGCCAGCCGCCGGGAGCCCCCTGGGTGGGTACCTCGAAGAGGAGAACCATCTCAACGCCCGGCCTGAAGTCTCTGCCTGTTGACCCCCCACCCCCACCCAACCCCAGGAGTCTTGCTTGACTTGGCGCTGTTGCAGAGACGAGCAACTGATTTTTCCTTTTAGAAGAAGGGAAGCAAAGGATGGCGAGATGCTTCTTCCCACTAGGAAAAGGCCATCTTGAGGCTGTATCTGGCTCAGTTGGTTGAGTGCTGGCCTAGCATGCACGAAGCCCCGGGTTCGATTCCCCAGCACTGCACCAAACCGGGCATGGAAACGATTGCTTGTAATTCCAGCCCTTGGGCAGGTGGAGGCATTCAAGGACGTTTTCTAGCACACCCTAGCGTCTCTCAACACCACCAAGACTTTGGATGGGGTGGCCTCAGAGTCAGATCTTTGTGACCTCCTGAGGGCCTGGCTAATCTGAAAAGCTACACTCTTTAAGTGCCTCAATGACGTCGTCCGTTCCAGGAACTGAAGACCACCAGGTCCTGTCTCTGCAGAATATTAAAGATCAACCTTGTTGTCTGACTTGGTGACTCATGTCCTTATAATTTAGCACTTGGGAGGCTGAGGCAGTAGGATTGCTGTCAGTTCCAGTCCAGCATGAGCTAAATAGCAATCAGTCAATCAATCAATTAATCAAAGTAAATAAATAGCATGTTAGAACTGGTACACCTGTGACACTCCACAGTTTGCAAATCACTTCCATATTAATGTACTAGTCAGTAAATATTAAGTGCCCACAACATACCTGCCCCTGTCCTAGACCCCAATGAGGCCATAATTTGTTCTTTAAATAAATCCTCCTGCTTAAATAAGCCAAATATTAAACGTTGAACAGTATTTGGTACTAAAATAGACATATACTTGTGTCTAGTTAGTGAACTAGGATATGAGAAGAATTTACTTTCAGTGGTGGCATATGTCTGATCTCAGTACTTGGGAGGTGGAGGCAGGAGGATTGTGAGTTCCAGACCAGCTACATATATAATGTGAACTGAAAAATGATACCTGTAGTATTGCCACATGTGGGTTCAAGTCCCAGCTGCTACTGTGAAAAGAAAGTAAATCAGACTTGGAAGCAAGCGCCTTTACCCACTGAGCCATCTTGCCAAACTTCACATAACTTCTGAAGTATGTTGAAAAGGTATCTTCTCTATTCCAAAGCTACTAGTAGTGATTAATTCCTTTAGGTGTCAAAGCTTCACTTTTAAAGCATGGGTGCTTGAGAGTGTTCGTGTAGTGAGGTTAGACCATCATTCACATGTAAGTATAAAGGAATTGACTTAGCTACTCTCTGTCTAGAAGTTTCCCGGCAAGGCAGTCCAAGGAGTGAAACTTCACAAGTCTGGACTGGAGGAGACATTGAAAGCTTGCTTAGTGCTGAACATGGAGGAAGGGTCCAGAAGTACCTGCAGGAGCTGCCAAGAGACCCAGTCACTGGCTGTGCCTATTAGCATTTGTAGAACAGTCATTTTGAACCCGACTACCTAATCCTAATGGCATTTTAAACATTATCTTTATGCAGACCTGTCTCAGCCTGTCCTACTCTGGGGAAATGGGATATTCTAAAGGTATAATTTGTACAAGCACGTGAGAAATCCGTTCAGCTGTCTCACATAAACATATACTTGCCGTATGTCCCAGAAATCTTCCCTGATACATATCCAAAGGAATCAAAAACATCCACCAAAAGATTTACATAAAAATCTTTGTAGTCACTTTGTGCACAATAATCAGAAACTAGAAATGACTCAGATAACATCAAAGGATGACCAGAAAAGCAAACTGTGATGGGTTCATACAATGCATACCACTCAAGAAGTGACACATAAGATACATATAATACACATGAAATAATATACATAATACACATAAAATAATAATTTTTTTCTTACAAAAGAGGTAGAGGCAAGAGAATCAAGGACCGAAGCCTAATGTCATCCTCAGCTACAAGAGCAATGTAAGTCTGTATTTAAAAAAGAAAAAACAACCCATGGGTGGGCAGGATGGCTCAGAAGGCAAAGGCTTGCTTACAAGCCTGATGACTTGAGCTTGATCACCAGAACCCACACAAAGATATGAGAGAGAACTGACTCCCACAAGTTTTTCTCTGACATCTATACATGTTCTGTGGCACAAGCCTCCCCACACATACTCAACTGTATTCATTACTTTTCTGTTGCTGTGATAATGTACGATGACCAGGGCCAGGTGTGGTGTTGCATGCTTTTAATCCCAGAACTCAGGAGACAGAGATAGGCAGATCTCTGTGAGATTGAGGCCAGAGAATCAAGGACCGAAGCCTAATGTCATCCTCAGCTACAAGAGCAATGTAAGTCTGTATTTAAAAAAGAAAAAACAACCCATGGGTGGGCAGGATGGCTCAGAAGGCAAAGGCTTGCTTACAAGCCTGATGACTTGAGCTTGATCACCAGAACCCACACAAAGATATGAGAGAGAACTGACTCCCACAAGTTTTTCTCTGACATCTATACATGTTCTGTGGCACAAGCCTCCCCACACATACTCAACTGTATTCATTACTTTTCTGTTGCTGTGATAATGTACGATGACCAGGGCCAGGTGTGGTGTTGCATGCTTTTAATCCCAGAACTCAGGAGACAGAGATAGGCAGATCTCTGTGAGATTGAGGCCAGCCTGGTCTACATAGGGAGTTCTAGGCCAGCTGGGGCTACAGGAAAACCCTGTCTCAAAAAACAACAACTACCATGACCAGAGCATTGTAAGAAAGAGATTTTATTTTGGCTTACGGTTCCAGAAGACTAGAAGTCTGTGATACTGGCAAAGAGTGGCAGGAGCAGAGAGCTGAGAGATCACACCTCAGTCCTACACAGAGTGAGAACTGGAAGTGGGATGATGTTTTAAACTTTCAAACTGCCCCAGTGACACACTTCCTCCTGAAAGGCTGCACCTCCAGAAAGTTCCATAACCTCCCCAAATGTCACCAACTGGGGATCAAGTGCTCAAATACATGAACCCATAGGGGGGCATTTCTCATTCAAATCATATAGGAAATAAACGTTTTTAAAAATTAGAAGATAAAAACCAATACTGAGTAAAAGAAGCTTAATGTAAAGGGGTTCATATTATAGGATTCCATTTATATGAAGTTTGGAAGGGAAGAACACGGTGAGAATAACTGTAGTATTGGGTATCTTGTTTCCCCCAAATAAAAACATTCTCTCCAGGCAGAGGAAGGAAACTCCTAAGTTTTGGGAAGCTGGGGCTGGAGAGATGATTCAGGTTAGGAGCACTGGATGCTCTTGAAGGGGACCCAGATTCAGTTCCCATCACCTACATAGTGGCTAACAACCATCCATAACGCCAAGTTCCAGGAGATCAGATGTCCACTTCTGGCCTCTGTGGGCATTGTATGCACAGGCACACTAATATGCATGTGGGCAAAACACTCATATACATAAAATAAAAATAAATATTTAAAAAATATTTTATTTAATATTTTATTATTTTATGTGTATGAATGTATTGCCTGCATGTATGTGAGTGCACCCATGTTGTGCAATGCCATGGGGGTCAGAAGAGGGCTTTGGATTCCCCTGGAACTGGAGTTAAAAATGGTTTGTAACTGCCATGTGGGTGCTGGGAATCGAACCTGGGTCCTCTGCAAGAGCAGTCAGTGCTCTTAACTGCTGAGCCATCTCTCCAGCCCCATAAAAAAATATTTTTTAAAGATTCAGGAAGCTAATGAAACTTACCAGGCTTAGGAAGCTCTAAGCTTCAGAAACAAAGACTTCATGAAGCGCAGAATGTTGCAAGATTCACAAGATCCCTTCTCACGGTGACATAAAGAGTAAACACTGGCTAGGGGAGATAAGGTTCTTCTGTGGAGTTGTCTCTAAGTTGTGTAGGGAGCTCCAGAAATTCAGCTTTTGTGAGTCATCCCCCACACTGAGGTGGGTTTCTCAGTGATGCCTCTGAGAGACCCACACCCCAGGCAGTAGCCCAAATAAACCCACTGGGAGAGAATTGTTTCTTTGGTCTGTCATCAACACCCTACCTAGGGTGAACAGATGTTTGTTCATGCTGGCCTAAGAAAAGTCAGGAAAGAGCAGTTCACATCATAGTTGTCCCTGAGCATGAGAGAAGCCTGAAGTATGTTCCACATCAGGATGACCATGATGATCACATAAGAGTGGGCATTGTCAAACCCCACTCATCTAAACACTTGAAATGTATGTGTTTACTGAATCTTTATTCAATAATTACTTGATTCAATAATAAATACTTTAAACATAATAAATTCAGTTATTTCCCTGAAGAAGAAAAATTTAATTAGAAGAAAGCTTAATGAAAGGACCACACACTGAGATGTGGACAGTGTTAAAAGAGCTGGGAAGAGAGGCTGAAGCTGTGGGGTTGGGGTAGGGTAGAGGGTACGATCCAGCGACTGTGGGAAGGTATTACCATTCTGCATTTTGCAGAGGTCAGGGGAGGTTGGGGTGTTACTAAGCCCAGCAAGAACCAGAGCCATGGAGCAGGAAGATGACTCAGTGGGTAAAGTGCCAGCTTGGGAGCTGAGTTCAGGTCCCCAGCACTTACAAGCCTGTGATCTCAGCACTGGGGGTGGAGACAGGCAGATCTTTGGGGGACTCATTGGCCAGCCAGTCTAGCTGACTAGAAGAGCTTTGGGTTCAATGAGAGACCCTGTCTCCAAAAATAAGGATGGCTCAGTAGTTAAGAACACTGGCTGCTCTTGTAGAGGACCCAGGTTGGGTTCCCAGCATCTACAGTGTCTAACAACTGTCCTTCACTCCAGTTCTAGGGGATCTGACGCCCTCTTCTGGCCTCTGGGGGCAGTGCACACATGTGGTACACTTACATACATGCATACAAAACATTCACATACATAAAATAAAA